TTTGGGCTAAGCTCAAATTGATTGTTATGTTTGGTCCAAAATGACCTTATAAGGGATTTTCAACAAAAATTGGATGCCAATTTGAGGTCTAAGGCATTCAATTGTTGAGATTTGGGGTGTTAGCCAATATTGTGGCTAATTTGGGGATTTTGTCAAAGATGGTCATATTGACCAAATTGGACCAAGGTGTAGTTGGACAAAATGAAATTGGGAATATTTTAGATTTATTGGGATTTTTTAGGAATTTTTGGAATTTTTGGATTTTGGGTCATGGACGGGTATCTTGGTAATTTTGTCCTTTTTGGAAATTTTGACGAATTTGGATGTATTCAAGGTGTTTGAAATGGGTTTTGATCAATTTTGGTTATTTTGGCAAAATTTGAGAATATTTGCCAGATTTGGGTCCCAAGGGCAGTTAGGTAATTTGGAAGTGCTAGGGGCAAAAGACCAAGTTAGGCATTTCACATAGAATTGGATAGATATCCATTCTAGATGAACCATGGATTAATGTATTGTGAAGATATGGTGTATTCTAGTTCCAAATCAACACCTAGGGTCGACCCTAAAGCCAAGTAATCCTATATGGACTCTTCTTGAATTCTCTTATAATGATCTTTCCTACTAAATGCTAGAGGTTAAGATCAATATGTGAAACTTCAAGTTGAGCAAAAAGAAGAGTTTTGAATTTCTAATGGTGGGGTACCACTTCTAGTTTTCTAAGACTAGTCTATAGGAAAGTCCTATGGCTAGACCTAGACTACTTAAAGAAGTTTTCTAGATCTCAACCAAAAGTGAGGTCAACAGCTAGAAAGGAGCTTTGGGAGAATCTTAAAGCTATTAGTAGCTCTTGTAACTCTTTTTGGATGGTTGGTGGTGACTTTAATTGTATTTCAGTACCTTCAGAGAAGTTGGGAGGTGCCCCCCTGACCTCAACAAGATGAATTATTTCAAAGATCAAAGCAACTTGGCTGGTCTGTATGACCTTGGTTTTTCTGGTCCAAAATTTACTTGGAGGAGGGGTCAACTTTGGGAAAGGTTAGATAGAATTTTTGTGAATTCCATGTGGCTTAATGAGTTCATTCACAATTCTGTGCAGCATCTCAGCATGACAGGATCAGATCATAGACCACTTCTTATGAAAATTTCTGCATCAAATGTTAAGCACAAGACAAGTTTTAGATACCTCAACATGTGGTCTTCCCACAAAGACTTCTTTAATCAGGTCTCATTGGTTTGGAGGGATTGTCACACTTCTAACCCTCTAATTAAGTTATGGAAACTGCAAAAGAAGTTAGGCAGACATTTATCTAATTGGAATTGGAAAATAGTGGGAGACATCAACTTAAATGTAGTGGAGGCTGAAAAGTCAGTTGCTAATTTGGAAGCTGAATTAGAGATTAACCCTGATGTGGAGAAGGATCTATTGATTGCAAATAAAAATTTGATGAATGCCATCTGCATGCAGGAGGATTTCTTTGCCCAAAAGGCTGCTAAGACCAGATTTTGTGAAGGGGATAGAAACTCAAAATATTTTCATGCCTGGATCAAGTTTAGAAGAAAGTGGAACACAATACATAAGATTAAGGAGACTGATGGAAAGTGGCTCCATTCTAAAGATTTGATTGCTACTAATGCTGTTAAATACTACCAAATACTCTTTAAACAACCTTCTGCTCTTAGGCCCTCCATCCAGCAGGAGTTATTTTGTAGGGATGAGAACTTCATGTGGGGACTGGATCTGACATCTGTTCCTGGGGAAGAGGAAATTTGGTCTGCTCTGGCTTCCATTTATAGCCCCAAAGTTGCTGGTCCTGATGGATTTTCTGCTGATTTCTATAAGAAATCATGGAAGATCATTAAAGATGATATTATAAAGGTTGTCCAAGGTTTCTTCAGAGGTTTGGATGTTCCCAACTATTTTAAATGCTGCAACATAACTCTAATTCCAAAATCTTCTTCTGCTATCCCTTGGGATCTTTTCAAGCCCATCAACCTCACAAATGTGATATCTAAAATGATTAGTAAAGTGATCTCAAACAGACTCCAACCCCTCCTTCCCAAGCTTATTTGTGAGAACCAGTCAGCTTTCATTAAAGGGAGAAGCATTGTAGAGAATTTCTACTTGCCCAAGAACTGGTGTTGGATCTGGACAAGCAATGCAGAAGGGGGAACCTAATAATGAAATTGGATATTTGGAAGGCATATAACACCATCAACTGGGATTTCATTGAGGAAGTGTTGTATGCTAAGGGATTTAATGAAAAATTTATCTTGCTGATACATAGATGGATAAGAAACAACTCTCAATCTATCTTTATAAATGGCAAATCTCATGGTTTCTTCACCTCATCTAGAGGAATCAAGCAAGGTGACCCACTGTCTCCAACTATCTGCATCATTGCTTTTGATTTCTTCTCTAAAATGTTTAATCAGCTCATGGTTTCATCCCCTCATACACTCTACAGTCATAGATCTAACATTGTTGTGAATCATTTAACATTTGCTGATGATGTTATTATCTTTGCCAAAGCAACCAAACCAGCTGTTAAATTGGTTCTTCAATGCCTGGAGAAGTTCCAGCAATGTTCTGGTATGCAATTCCATACTAAGAAATGTCTTTTGATGTTTAACAAAAAAGTTAAACCTGAAGTTAAGCATTGGACTACTGACCTTAGTGGCTTCAAGACCAGCTCTCTGCCTTTAAAATATTTAGGAACTTTGCTTGTGAAGGAAAAAACAAGACAAGTTCAATTTGATGACTGTATCACCAAAATTCAGGATAAACTAAACTGCTGGGCAAATTCATTCCTTTCCAATGGGGGTAGAGTTACTATTCTAAATAGTGTCTTAACAGCTCTTCCATCTTATATCTCCCAGGTTTCTGTAATGAAAAAGTCAACACAGTTAACTCTGGAAAGAATGTTTAATAGATTTCGGTGGGCAGGTCAGAGGAAGCAAATTCATTGGACCAGTTTGCAAAAGCTGTGTGGAAGCACTAGTGTTGGTGGGCTGGGCTTCAAAAGACTCATACAGATCTCTCAAATAAATTTTTGTAAGCTTTGGTTGATGTTCAGAGCTCAGAGTTCTCTTTGGGCTAAATTTGTGAAGGGCAAATACTGTAAAGAGGTGCACCCCTCCCTTGTTAATAAAAGACTTGGGGATTCCAGGGCCTGGACCAATATGCTAAAAGTAAGATCTCAGGCTGAAAACCTATTCATCTGGAAAATTGGAGAGGGCAAGCTTAATATTTGGCTGGATAATTGGACTGGTGATGGTTTAATCAACACTTCATCTAACCCTCAATTTAATCCTGCAACTCAGGTGGCTGAATTATGGTTCAATGGTGAGTGGAATCAGCAAGCTTTACAGAATATATTGGATAACAAAACTTTACAGAAGATTATGAAAAGCAACATTGATAGAGAAAGTAAGGATATCCTGATTGTGAAAAAGAAGGTGTCCCAGTCTTTATCTGCAGCCATTGCTAACTTCTGTTTTCCTCAACAAAGAGTCAGCTGGAGTAAATGTGTGTGGAATAAATTCCTATCCCCTTCAATGTCATTTTTCTCTTGGAGATTACTCCATGGCTTTCTGCCCACAGATGATATACTGAAGTTAAAATGTTTGAGAGGTCTTTCTAGATGTGGGTTATGTAAATCCCATGAGGAAACTATTAAGCACTTATTTTTCCAATGTTCCACAGTTAAACAGGTTTGGAGCTGTTTAACTCCCAAACTAAAGTTAGAAACTGTTCAATTATCCTGGAATGATTTCTCCCTCAGCTGGAAGGATTGGCAGGACCAAGACTTACCCCCAATTCCTTGTATAACTGCTTGGTTTATATGGATGGATAGGAACAAGATTAAATATGAATACATCTGGGTGGCAGCTGCTTCCATTGCTACCAACTGCATCAGCTACCTGCAGAAATTATATTGCCATGGGAAGCTTCCTGATATCCTTCACAGTACATCCCATAGTCTTCCCAAAAAAATCAAGTATGCACTCATCCATTGGATTCCTCCACCAAAGGGGGGAATTAAAGTTAACACAGATGGTAGCTTTTCTAATCCTTATGCTGGTATTGGAGGGGTGTTCAGAAATAATAACGGAAAGTGTTTACTCTACTTTCATTCTCCTGTTATTGCTAGGGACCCTCTGGAGGCTAAAATAGTGGTTATTTTTTTGGCTATGTTTATTGCCCAAAAGTGTAGCTTCACCTCACTTATCTTAGAATCTGACTCCAGGGTCCTTATTGATATTATTGAAGGGAGGTTACCTACTCCTTGGTACATGTTGCAGTGGATTGAAATGATTCACTCCTTGGGAGAGGGTATCAGATCCTCATACTCCCATATATTTAGAGAAGGTAATAGGCCTGCCAATTGGCTAGCTAAGGTTGGCCTTCATTCTGAGCTCCCTAGGGTAGGCACTTCTACTACCCCCCAATTAGAGTTATTGTTGAAAGGAGACATTGTTGCTCTTCCTTTCATTAGAGTTTTTTCTGTTTAAAGTTTTTTGGGAAGGGACTTTTATGCTCCCTTCTCTTGTACCCACCTTTTCCTTTTTAATGAAGTAGTATATATATAAAGGAGACCGAGGCTCCAAATTCATTAAAAATGAATGATACAAAAGAATGGAGACAAAAAATCCCTTCCCAAAATTAAACAGAAAGGACTTTAATGAAAGTAGAGCCACAAGGTCTCCTTTTAACAGTAACTCTAACTAGGGGGTGGGAGAAGTGCCTACCAAGGGAAGCTCAGAGTGTAGGCCAACATTTGCCAGCTAGTGGGCAGGTCTATTGCCTTCTCTCAATGTATGGGAGAAGGAGGTGCTAAGTCCCACACTCAAGGATTGAATGCTTTTGATTCAGTGGATCAGGTACCATGGAGCTGGTATCTTCCCTTCAATGATATTAATTAAAACCATAGAATCTGATTCAACAATTAAGGAGTGAATGCCACGCTTATGAGCCATAAACATAACCCATAAAACCCTTTTAGCCTCCGGGAGATCCACAACCCTTACAGGAGAGTGGAAGTAGAGTAAACACTTCCCTTTGTCACATCTGAACAGCCCTCCTATCCCAACAAATGGAGTAGAAAAACTGCCATCAGTATTTACTTTAATTCCACCCTTAGGGGGGCATCCCCAATGAATAAGTTAGTACTTGACTTTCTAGGGAGGCAACAGGCAGTGCTGCAAGGAATTTCAGGAAGCTTCTTATGGTAATACAGTTTCTTCAAATAGCTGAAGCAGTTAGTAGCAATGGCAGCAGCTTTAGTAGCAATGGTAGCAATGGCAGCAGCTTCCACATAGGTGTCTTCATATTTCAGCTTATTTCTAGCCATCCATATAAACCAACCAGTGATACAAGGAATGGGGGGTAATTCTTGGGCCTGCCAATCCTTCCAACTAAGAAAGGAATGAAACCAAGACAACTGAGCAGTATTCAACTTCAATTTGGGCAATAGAAAGTTCCAAACTTGCTGAACAATGGTGCAGTTAAAGAATAAATGTTGAATAGATTCCTCTTGGGACTTACAGAACCCATATCTAGAAGGGCCTCTCAAACATTTTAATTTTAGTATTTCATCACTGGGAAGAAAACCATGAAATAATCTCCAAGAGAAAAATGACATAAAATGGGAAAGGAATTTATTCCACACACATTTGCCCTATGGGACTTCTTGCTGTGGGAAACAGAAGTTTGATATGGATGCTGATAAAGACTGAGACACCTTCTTTTTCATAATAAGTCTATCTTTTTTATCTATGTCTATGTTGCATTTCAGAACTTTATGTATGATTCTATTATCTAGTATGTTTTGTAGAGATTACTGATTCCAATCTCCATTGAGCCATAAATCAACCACCTGAGTTGAAGGATTGAGTGGAGAAAGAGATGGGGGGTTGATTTAGCCCTCACAAGTTTAATTATCCAACCAAAGTTTAATCTTGCTCTCTCCCAGTTCCCAAATAAATAAATGTTTAGCCTGTGTCCTTAACTTTTGCATATTAGTCCAGGCCCTAGAATCACCTGGTCTTTTAGTGACAAGGGAAGGATGCATATCTCTATAATATTTACCCTTCAAATATTTAGCCCAGAGAGAAATATGAGCTCTGAACATAATCTAAAGCTTACAAAAGTTGATTCGGGAAATTTGCGGATACTTTTGAATCCCAGCCCACCAGCTCTAGTACTTCCATAAATTTTCTGCCACCTAGTCCAATGCATTTGTTTTCTCTGACCTGCCTAAAGGAATTTATTAAAAGTCTTTTCCAGAGTTAATTGGGTGGATTTCTTCATTACATAAACTTGAGAGATGTAGGATGGAAGAGCTTTCAAGACACTCTTGAGAAGAGTAATCATACCCCCATTAGAAAGGAAGGAGTTAGCCCAACAGTTCAGCTTGTCCTGAATTTTAATGACACACTCATCAAATTGGACTTGCCTAGTTCATCCTTTCAATAACAAAGTGCCCAGGTATTTTAAAGGCAATGAGCTGGAACTGAAACCAGTAAGGTCTGAAATCCAATGCTTGATGTCAGGCATAACTCTTTTGTTGAACACCATTTGGCTTTTCTCAGTGTAGAATTGCATTCCTGAACAGTCTTGAAACTTTTCCAGGAATTGAAAACCAATTTAATAGCTAGCTTAGTTGCTTTGGCAAAGATAATTACATCATCAGCAAATGCTAAGTTATTCACAACAAGGTTAGATCTGTGACTGTATAATGTGTGAGGGCATGTAGTCATAAGCTGATTCAATAATTTAGAAAGGTAATCAAATGCAATAATGAATATAGTAGGATATAAGGGGTCACCTTGCTTGATTCCTCTTGATGAAGTGAAGAAATCATGAGAATTACAATTAATAAACACTGATTGATAATTGTTTCTATTGATAATTTTTTCTTAGCCATCTGTGTATCAGTAAGATAAATTGATAAGTGAAGCCCCTTACAGATAACATTTCCTCAATGAACTCCCAATGTATGGTGTCATATTCCTGTATAATATGCAAATTAAAGATTAGATTCCCACCTCTGCATTGCTTATCCAGATCCATCACTAATTCTTAAGCCAACAAAACATTCTCCACTATGCTTCTCCCTTTGATGAAAGCTGGCTGATTCTTACTAATAAGGTGAGGTAGGTGAGGTTGGAGTCTGTCAGAGATCACCTTACTAATAATCTTAGGCAAGACATTGGTAAGGTTGATAGGCTTAAATTGATCCTAAGAAAATGTAGAAGAAGTTTTGAGAATTAAAGTTATGGTAGTTAAAGTTATGGTAGAGCAGCATTTAAAGTAGTTAGGAAGATCCAATCCTCTAAAAAAACCTTGCACAACCTCAGATATATCATCTTTAATGATCCTCCAAGGTTTCTTATAAAAGTCAGCAGAAAAGCCATCAGGATCTGCATCTTTAGAGCTGTCTATGAAAGCCAGGGCAGACCAAATTTCCTCTTCCACAAGAATGGAAGCCAGGTCCAACCCCCCTAGTATTATTCTTATCTATGCAAAAAAATTCATGCAGATTTGTTTCCTAGAGACTGGAGGTTGGGTAAAAGTGTTTGGTAGTAATTGATAGCACTAGCAGCAATTTGGTCATTAGAATGGAGCCACTGTCCAGCTGGATCCTTAATCTTGTGTAATGTATTACATTTTCTTCTGTAATTGATACAAGCATGAAAATATTTAGAATTTCTATCCCCCTCACAAAATCTGGTCTTAGCAGCTTTTTGGGCATAAAACTCCTCCTGCAGATGGCAATCATCGATTTTTTTATTTCAATAATAACAATATGAAATATAAGCAAAGAGTTCTATTTCAATTACATTAGTAGCCATAAGAGGAGTATAGAAATGTAGGAGGCATTTTCCAAGATGATTTCTGTAGACTATATAAATCAACATGGTGGTAGCTGGGGATGGAGCTCTGCTAGGGTTTCTGCCCAGATGAGGATTTACAAGAGCTGGCTAGAGGGTGGTGTTATAGAAGAGAACCTTAAGGATCTTTTCTTTGCTTGGTCTACTTTTGGGGGGCCCCTATTCGGGTTTGAACCCTCCTGGGTTTGGAGTTGTGTTGGGTTTACTGTTGCATTGGAAAAAAATTTTCTGGTCTTCAAGTGGTGTTGTTCTTGCTTACCCACTATCTTGGTGGCTGTTTCTTTCCACCCCTGGTGTTTGCTTGAGCTAAGGAAGTGTTGTGTCTGTTTTGCTACTTTCCTGGGCTTGGAATCTTTTAAAAAGTTACTGTTCTATTGATGCTTTGCCTTGGTATTTTCTTGTTCCATCGTTAGAGAGATAAGTTTCTACTGTTTCTCTTTCAATGGCTACTCTTTTAGATGTTGAAACTAATGCTCAGTGGTCTAAGGCCACCTATGCTAAGATTGTGGGCAAATTTGCAAACATCCTCCTTGACCCTGATAAGTTAGTGTTCCCTCAAGCATTTCATGACACTGTTGATGGGAAAGGTGCTTGCCCTTGCAACAATCCTTTAGGCACAAAAGAAGGTGAACCAACAATATATTTATCTCAAAAGGAAATTTTGTCTCTGAATGAAAAAGTGAAGATCAGATTGGTGGGTAAATTTCAGCTTTGATATCCAAAAAATGGAATTTGTTAGAAGCTTCTTTGCTTCACTGAAGTTTATTGGAGATTGGTAAATATGTTTGCTAGATGGCAGACACCTACTCATACAACTTTAAGGGGAGGAGGGCTATGCTAGACTGTTTGCAAAGCAATCCCTACAAATTGAAGGAACTACCATGAAGATTTTGAAATGGTCATCTGATTTTGAACCTAGCAAAGAGCCACTAGTGGTTCCCCTTTGGTTTAAACTACCTGGGATCCCTCTCTCATTTTTCCATCTAAATGCATTATTCAACATTGGTTGCGCTCTTGGTAAGCTAATGATGGTGGATGCCCCTACATATAACAAGGCTAGACCAACCTTTGCCAGAATCTTAATTGAAAGGGATATCACCCTACATGAACTAAAAAGAATTTGGATAGGGTCAGAGAATGATGGTTTCTGGCAGGATGTTATTCTTGAGTAAAGACATTATTATTACCACCATTGTAAAATTTTTGGGCAGACCAAGGATAAATGTTACAAGCTTCACCCCCACTAAAAAAATAACCCTCACTAAGGAAACTGTTAACCTGTCTACTGCACAGGTGCTTATTTTACCAACTAATCCCACACTGGCAGTGGCACCCACCTTTGAGAATAATGGTGAAGCTCTTTTGGACATTTCCAATAGCTCTACAGCTCCTTTTGTTTGCCTTACCTTCAGCCTCTTTTAGAGTCATCAGGGAGGAATTAAATGATGTGAGTATCATTACCCCATAACTTTTGAGGGCTCACCTAATGAAGGGGGAGAGATTATTAGGAGGTCACTTTGCATGCTAATACTGACCTTAAAGCCCCTGAGAAAGAGAAAATTGTCGAAATGGAACTTTTCTTACAAGGGGAGTGGAAAATTCATACATCTAAGAGGATA